AGTGTGTATTTACCTAGTAATGAAAGCAGAACAATACTATTGGGGAAGGGGAAATGCAAAGCTGCTAAAGCTCCATGGCAGCCAAACGTCTGAGAGGAGGAGGAAGACGTTGGCTTGAGCCCAAGATCTGGAAGGTACAGTGAAGCAACTTCCCGCCAACAGAATAATGTTATGCTGACAGGTTCTGTAGAGTTTCAACATACAAATGAAAAGATTCCACTTTTGTGATTTGGGATATGTTGCAACTGAGCTGGAAATAAATTGCCTGAGAAAACAGACAGTGTGAGATAATGTAGGTGGTGAGCTTATTTTGGAGAAATGTAAATCCATTATTTGGAAGTGCTTTTAGTTAAATAAAATATACATATGAAGTGGGGGGGAATTAAATATCGTATCTATTTTTTTGATACTATTATCTTAGGCATTCCATTCAAAAGCAATGTGAGGGCCTTTATCCTGAAAAAGTAGCACATCTCAACTCCATAGATCAACAATGCACAAGTTTATACACAATCTTAAGGGTTCTCAATTTTTCTTTGAAGTAATGCAGTGCATGCAAAAAAGAAACAAGGGTTCAATCGTGTGGTTGTAGCAACCACTATGACTTTTTGGACACCCCTGAAGTAATAATTGTGCATAGGGTCAAAGCAGAGGTGGTATTCAGCAGGTTCTGACCAGTTCTGGAGAACCAGTTGTGGAAATTTTGAGTAGTTCAGAGAACCGGCAAATACCACCTATGACTAGAGATTTTACAGTATCCTTCCCTTGCCACACCCATCAAGCCACACCCACAGAACTGGTAGTAAAAAAAAATTGAATCCTACTACTGGGTGAAACACCTACTAGCCTTCTTCATTATCCTCATAAACATAAAGAACACTTTTATGTATATCAGTTATCCATAATCTTTGGCTTTGGATGTTTAGCTGAATCACGGGCCTCCCCCTACAATTACATATTTTGAATGTTCTTGTCTGTTGACTTTTACATATCTGAATATGTTTCCCTTCTTTTAATTAATTATATTGCTTGGTGCTAAAATATATATGGGGTTAGTGAATTGTTTTTACAGTTCAAAATCTATGACTTCTAAGGTGCGCCTACTTGGGATCATTTATTGAAAATCATGGACAGTAATCTACCACAGTGCTCTGGTGTAGGTTGATAGATACGTGGCTTTCAATCACCTAGTAAGCTGAGAGAGAATGACTGGTCTAACTAAAATCATCCAGCTAGCTTCCTTGTGTAAAGTAAGACTAAAATCTAGGTCTCCCCACTCTGTCTGCGCTAAGACCACTACACCACAATGACCTAGTTGGGATTACGATACCAATATAACAGAAGCGCCATTAAATGCAGTCAGGCAAGAATCAAATTGGTAAAAAAAAACAAAAACTGTTGGGAGATAAACCTGCACGCCCCAGTCCCTGCATTATTTTTCTGAGTGTGGAGTTTTCTCAGGCAAGCAGACATGTGAAGAAGTCCTTCCAAAGAGTTGTTGCATTTTGGAATTTCCTTGTTCTTGAAGGCATGGAGGTAACAATTTTGTAGAGTGGATGCAAAATACTGTAAGTCGCAATATTGCAGATATCAGTATATGTGCATGCATTCAAGAAGAGTGATCTCTTCAAGGAAGGTTTCGCTGTTGTTGTGAATCAGGAATGTTCAGAAATGGTCATGTTATCAGATGAACTCTATATGATTGCTGAACAGAATGGTTGGGATCAAATGAAGCAGCGAGAAAGAACCCAGCCTTAATTGTAGCAATCTTTTTGATGGAATACAAGTTTTTTTTCTGTGCAGTAGCTTGACTCATATTACATATTCAATATGTGACATTCTTGGTAACAAATTGGAGAAGGGCCGCTTAAACGAAATGCCGTAATTGTGCAGGATTTAAAATACAGACTTCCCCTTCACCAGAAACTCTTTTGCCTTGTAAAATTTGCTTGTGAGATTGTGAAAAATGTGTATATTTGTTCATATTTTTGTGCCACGCTCTATAAAGTAACTGGCTAGCTTGAAATTCTGTAGTAGCTATTGTTGACCGTATCTTATGTCTACATTAATCATTTCAGGCAATTTAAGAGTCTGCAGCTAGTGCGCATCAGGACATCATGTCACAGGACAAGAAATTCGAGACTGCTTATATCTGCATAGAGGTGCTGATTGCCCTTGTATCCATCCCCGGGAATATCCTGGTGATCTGGGCTGTCAAAGTGAACAAGTCTCTCCGGGATGCCACCTTCTACTTTATTGTGTCTCTGGCAGTGGCAGACGCAGCTGTGGGAACCTTTGCAATTCCTCTGGCCATCATTATCTACCAAGCACCAACAATGAATTTCTACAAATGCCTGGGGTTGATATGTCCTCTCCTCATCCTCACCGAAAGCTCCATTTTGGCATTATTGGCGATTGCCGTGGATCGCTATCTCCGAGTCAAGATCCCTATCCGGTAAGAGCTAGAGCCTGAGAGATAAGTCTTAGTCAGAGATGGAAGTTGAATTTTTTCATACATCTCTAAGATTGTATTGCACAGCAAGGAGCCAAAATTTTAAAATTGTCAAGAATGATTTCTTTTCAAAAGGATGTTTTATTGAACTTTGTTAATAAAGTCGTTAATAAATTTGTCCAATCCATGGATGACCATTGGATTTACATGTGCTTTCTATATAAATAAAAAGAAATGAAAATAAGAAAGGCATATTTTTGGTAACATAAAACATTTTAAAAATTAAAATTAGGTTCGTGTAATCAGGGGAGACAAGAGTTGGTTATACACCCGCCAGTCCTGGGTTATTTTCTGATCGACCGCAGCTAATACCTGCAGTCCTTGACTTACATTTTGTTTAGTGATTCTTTGAAGTTACAATGGCACTGAAAAAGTGATTTATGATGGTTTTTCACACTTACGACCATCACAGCATTCTCATTTGTCACATGATCAAAATTCAGATGCTTGGCAACTGACTCATATTTATGACGGTTGCACTGTCCCAAGGTCATGTGATCACCTTTTGTGACCTTCTGACAAGCAAAGTCAATTTGGGAAGCCAGATTCAATTAACAGCTGTGTTACTAACTTGACAACTGCGGTGATTCACTTAACAATTGTGGCAAGAAGGGTCATAAAATGGGGCAAAACTTACTTAACAACTGCCTAACTAAGCAACAGATATTTTGGACTCAGTTTTGGTCATAAATCAAGGACTACCTATATTACAAATAAATGACAATATGATGAAGCTATTCCTTCTTGTATTCCTTAATGGAATATTGTGGTAAACATACAGAAAATTCAGTGGAAAAATGTATTGTTATAAATGGATAATGATGTTGCACCCTAACCCTTTTAAAAATTCATAAATGAAGTACCACGTTGAGATATTAAATTCTTGCCTGAAAGCACCTAATCCCCTACATTGGCTTTGTTCTGATTTCTGGGTCTTCTGGTATTTGGCATATTATGTCCTAAGTATTAAGCCTGGATTATTCTAAGTTCTGATTATTTTATGTACTGTATAGATTTTCTAAAGTATTCAGATAGGAAATATTGGGAGATCCAGATATAATAAGAATACGAGTGTCTGATTTGAGAGAAGGATTCTGTGACTCTTTATGAGGTTGGGAGGCAGAATATTTTTAATTGTATTCTGACTAGTGAGTTTCTTGAACAAAGAATGAACAAAGGATGCCCAGGTTGGATGATAGGGAAGTAATAATACTAGGAAGAGAACAATGATGAAAATATGTTTAAGGTCAGAGATAAATTTTTTTTAACACATTGGTCAGTCTCCTCTTCCAAGTACAACTAAGCAATAACTGATGTACTATATGCAACTATGAATATATATGAACAATTTCAGTCTTCATTTTGCAGCCAAATTTATTTGATGCAGGAAATTGAGGAAGCTAAAATGTATGGAGGATTGGGATCAAATTGTAATAAATTGATATTTACTGGCACTGGTGTAGGGTTAAGGAGCAAATAAATTATTCTCCCAAGTGCTAATCATTCTGTAAAGGAAAACATATCAGTATCAATTAAATAGGATATATAACTGCCAGATTAAAAAAATACATGCCACTATCCTTTCAAATACATCCTTTTGAATGTGTGGGTGAGAAAAGCATGTTATCATGCATTAATTAACCCTGAACAAAAGGATGTGATTTTATCTATATAATAATAGATGGTTTCCAGATCTTTAAAGTCTGCTTGTCTGCAGAAATTTAGCAGTTGTAGTTTTTTTAATGTAGGAAAACTATTTTACAGATGGCACCTTCCTCCCACTAGACTGGCAAAAATGTTTAACTCAGATCCAAGCTGTTGGAAATGTGGAAAAGAAAAGGGCACTTATTTTCATATCTGGTGGACATTCCAGGAGGTGAAAAAATATTGGAGTACAATTAGACAATGGCTAGAAGAAATCATGAATCAGAAAACTGAATTTAATCCGGAAACTTTTTTATTAGGTATAATAACACAAAAATGCAATAAAATAGATAGATATATCATGTTATACATATTAACAGCTGCAAGGATTTCGTACGCACAACTCTGGAAAGAAAAAAGGGTTCCACCAGAAGGCATGGTTATAAAAAAAGAGATTTCTGATTGGCAACATAAAGAGAAGAGCAAATCTAGTCAGCCACAGGAAAGGGCATTCTCACTGGCTGTCCACCTGGGAATGGCTTAAATGTTAGTCACCTATCCTGAAACTAATCAATCTTCTCCTGGGAGGGATAGAACTAGTAGCTTTCAGACTTATAAGAGATTGCTTTGCTGATTTGTTTTGAAACAGGAAGGCAAGACATTCTTCACAGCAGAAAACTGGGAGAAAGTGTCTGTGTATGTCAACAAAAAGACAAGTGCTTTCCTTGTCATGTGCTCTCTCTCAAATGTATAGTGTTCGTTCTCTCCCTCCCTCCCTCCCTCTCTCCATCTCTCTCTCTTCCTTAGACTGGGTGCTGCTTGGAGCTTGTCTTTGCCTGGCTGTGTGCAACCTGCAGATGGCATGATAGTAGGAGAAACTCAGGAGAAGCTCTTTCAGTGCGCCTGGCTGCTACTGCAATCCCAAGAATGATGACTCATATCCAGACACATTTTAGCCTCAGGCAATAGAGCTTAGTCCAGTTTCAGGAGCTTACCTGAATGAGTTTTGCTTTACATGTCATGACTCTCAAAGGATGAAGGTCTCTTTGTCCATGGAAAGATTTGTTTGTGCTGTTCACGGTGACCTTTCAGTAGTGGTGGAACATTATCCCTCTACATGATTGAAAGAGATGGATACAATGTCATATCAGACCAAAGCTTTGGAAAACGAGTGGAATGAGAGAGAGATTAAAAGTCGCCCACATGTGGAATTGAATACTTTCACTTGCTCCTCTGTTTGATGTTTTAAAATAAGTGAATGGTTCTTCTATTCCATTTGTGGAGAAATTTGTGATGCTTCTACTGTTAAAACCAAGGAAAAGACGAGTTAATGAGCAGGAATGTCCATAAGGTCAGGTGGGCCGTCTAAAAAAATTAAGAATGTGGCGGTGGCCATGTGTTCATCTGTACAACCCTGCAGCTGCCATCTTGACTAATTTGAACACACACACACACAAACACTCTCTCTCTGGTGAATCTAAGTGAGTATTGCAAACATGACTGAACAACTAAGGATTGAAACCAGATTTCTAAGAATCAAACTTATGAACAAATTCATATTGTTGGTTTCTTTTCCTTTCAGTTTTTTGAATTTCAGGTTCTTTCTGCCCAGACAGTGACATGATTTGAGTATAATATTCTTCTAAAAGAAAGGCAGATAACCTTTCAACCCTGAGTTTCCCTTGATCCAGTTTACTTTTTTGAGGTGGGGGGGGGGCTTCTGATGGTTACTGGAGGCCTGGTACTGATAAGGTGACTTTGGGGGCTGCCTTTGGATCTTTTATGCCCCCCCCCCGGGTTTTTTCCTTAAAAATAGGGTGTTTTTCACAACTTGTTCCCAAAATTTGACAATGTAGCCCTGTAGGTTGAGAAGGGAGGAAGAAAGGGATCAGAGTGACCCACTGCTCATGGCCAGCATGTACAAGAGGTAGAGCAGTAAGCAGAGAGTCCTGTACAGACTCCACCTAGAAATTCAGCCTTATTCACAAGAATGCCTGTTGCTTTGTGTCCAGTTTTGCTTCTTGCTGCCAAGTCCTACAGATGTCAATGAAACTGTTTGACCGCATTTATAAGGCTGGGCTGCTTTGGCATGCCCTTCACTATTTGCAGGAGAGAATAGGTTATTTGCAGTAGGCACCTTATCGGTGGTTGTGGAAGAGATGCTGATAATAGGGGTTGGCTTCTTTCTATTCTTGATCCAGATCTCAGCACTAAAAAAAAACCCTATGCATATAAAGTAAAAACAGCAAAGTTCTCTCTGCCCAGATCACGTGGCTTAGATCATCAGAGCAGAATTTGAAACATTAATTTTCTTCTGCATTTGAATCAATCTGTGGTGTAACTTCTATAGAGATGTTTTTTTTCCTGCATAAACACGCATGCCTTTTGTCCGCTCTGAAATATTTGATAATCAGCAGCACAACAACCTTTGGGGCTCCTAATGAGTAAAACCAGAGAAAGTTTGACATGGGTTAAGACAGTGGTCAGAGAAGCAATCATTTGTTTGCTGACTTCTTCCACACCATCTTCTCCCCACCACTTGTCAGAAAGCTTCCACGGCAATGTTATTTATGGACATGCCATAAATGTTTCTGCCTGGGAGTCAGAAACAGCAACTACACAAGACAGCAGAACTGTTTGTAGAAATATACTGGTGGAGCCCATTTTCAATCACATTTGGAAACAAATAATTGAGAAAGAAAAACAGAGGTCAGCAGCAGTGCCAGCTGGATTATCACTTGCTTGTTTCAGATCAGGTTTGAGAATGGCAACTTAATAATCATAGCCTTAAAAACATGTATTCACTTCTCTATGGAAATTAAATGGAAGTGAAGATGGTTTAAATTTCATATCTCCTTTTTCTAGTGAAAAAGGAAGGTAGTTAAAAGCATTGATACAATAAAGAGGGAGTAGGCAGTGGATCTGTTGGAATCCCCGAAGAGTCAAGGTGGACCACATAAAAAGAGATAGGGGTTCAGGTGTGGTCACCATTTTGACTTTTTTGTCTTCCTTTCCACATACAAATTGGTGGGAATGGGCAATTTGATGCCCTCTTGAACTTTTGGATTTTAGGTATGATCAGTCTAAGTCAGCATGGCAAAGACAAAGGGAGAGAGAAATGGAAGTTTAAGGCAAGGGAGTCTGTAGGGAGATCAAACCTATTAAAACTCGTGTAATTAAATATAAAAACAGGTAGAGCTTTGATCAAAGATCCAGATACCATCTCAAGTCTTTTGACCAGACAAGCAGATATGCCTGACCATGAGACTGAAGCTCTGTTCTCTCTCTCTCTCTCTCTT